GTCACATGGATTATTTTACCGATGTCCTTGCTATGTTTCTGAGCCTTGATCATGTTAGGATCCTTGCTGTCTATGGGAGGGTCAGAGAGCTCACAGAATTCATCAAAAATATCTTAATTTGTGTGTTCCGAAGAGGAACGAAGGTCTTGTAACGACATGAGGGTGAGTAATTAATGACAGAATTTTCATTTTTGGGTGAACTATCCCTTTAAGTTATATGTCTCTTGTTGTTTAATAAAAATTAGAGGCTTAGATTAAGTTATATGTTTGTTTGTTTTTTGTTTTTGTGGCCATTTCAATGGATTTTTTAAAAATTATTTAACTTGTGTTGTATTTTACTTTTGCTAAGTGTATGATTTACATTTGATCCACAGAAATTCCGGTCGGTGAAGAAAGAGGATGCAGGTGAATACTATTGCCAGGCCAGAAATGAGGCAGGATGGTCAAAATGCAGTCCTCAGATCATGGAAGTGTGTAAGTGTGCCCCTTAAATATGCTGGTCAGTAGCTGCACTTTGAAATAATGATTAAGCTTTTAATATAGAACTGATTTATTCACCCTCATGATGTTCAAAATGCACTTATTTTTTTCAGTGGAAAACAACCACAAATATTTTGTGAAAACTTTGATATATTCTTTTTCAAGATTCTTTGTTAATAATAATAAATGTTTCTCAAGAACTGAATCAGCATATTAGAATGAATTCTGAAGAATCAGGTGACACTGAAGACATCACAGAAATGTCAAATAAAAAAAACGAAATTATAATAATTCACAAAGAGTTAGTAAATAATGAAATTTTTAATATTTTATTCATTTGTATGTAATTTCTTTCTAGATGATCTGGACATTGTGGGAATATTCCTGAAGGTTTTAGGTGGAGTGGCAGCATTTATATTTGTCGTTGTGGGGATCTGTCAGATTCAGAAAAGTGGCTACTGTTCCTGCAAAGACCACACGGAAACCAAGTGAGTAAAAACCATAACCACAAAATGAACCTTAAGGGCTGATCTGATTTGATCTGGAATTGCATGCACTTTTGGTAAGATTGCAATGCTCTGTTTCATACAGTTACAAAGTACCCCAACATGACAACAGGATGGACTACGCCAGTCCAGATGAGGTAAGGCTGTGTGGATTTGTGACGTGATAAAGCACCACAGATATCGTTTCCATGCATTAGTGCACGTTTAGAGGCTGTAGTCAACACTTTGAAATGTTCTTACAAGGATGGATGAAATATCATCCAAGATTTGTTATTGTTTATCTTCTCAGATTACACCGCAGCATTTCTCTGACTGCAGATATTTTCTTTTTATTAATGCTAGCAAAGCTTAAAGTGGTATTAGTGCAATCTTCAAAATAATCTCTTAGTAAAATCTCTACATGGAAAAAATATTCAGGTGGATTTTTGTTTTGCTTCTGTAGTGCCACATTTTAACTACATATCATGTGCCTGCTCTCTGTTTTTCAGGGACATTTCCGCCACAAGTCCTCCTTTGTCATTTAAAATCAAAGAAGAGGAAACGAGCACTTCAATCGTGTGAATGCCTTGTGAGCTGACTTTTGAACTGTCAAACTGGATTTTACGCAGAGGTGCGACTTGAGCTTCATGGCTTGCCAAAGTAATTACAAAAACGAGAACTACTGTGTTAAACGGAATTTTTACTCTCCTTATTTTGATTTAAACAGACAGGAATCAAACACAGGTTTACTTAAAACTCCACAGTTTATATATAAAAATAACGTTCAGTCGAACAACGCTAAGATTTATAGCTATTACATGCATCTTGTTCAGTAAAAAAATCATTGTTTCAGCAAATCAAAAAGGACTGAACTTAAGAAGTAACATAAAAGATGAGGTTTTTCCAAATAATTGTGAATTTCTGAATGGCAGTTGCACTTCAAATTGTAGCAAGGCTGAAACTGCATCCAGGTGCTGCTGTATTTATGTCCAAAAGTAGTCAACACATAATACCAGTGCAAGAATTGACATGTCTTCAAGGTAAATTTTATATTTCCCGCTGGAAATATAGTGTGTGACTATGTGAAGAATCCTGTCAGTGTAAATGTGTACAATGCCATGCCAAGACTTTTATCTGGGTCACTTTTGAGAAGAGGATTTTATGTGTTAGTGTTTCAGTAGTAGTTATTGAGTTGATGAACTATAAATTTGTAGCATTTTAGTTTGAGATTTAATCAAACATCTCCGTAAAGTCAGTAGACTTGGTTGTGCAAGATGATTCATTTACTTAGTTTCATTTTTGAAATATTCCTCTAGATACAGATTACGCACTTGTGGGTTTTTCAGAGTGCCATTTCTGTGTTTAAGTGACCTTCAATGCTTTATAATTGTTTTATACGTTTTGGACATATTGTCCAGGTTTTATGACTCAGTGTTATTGTTTTAATCTACTTATAAGATCTACGTATATTGTAGTTCACTCCAGAGTAGTAGTTAGACTGGGCCGTGTCACAAGAATAAAACTGATTATGTGGAAGCAATCAGCATTGTCTATCCATTCATTTTGTTTTTAAAACATGTAGCTATAAATGTAATTGGACCATCAAATTTACTTTTTTCCCCACTTTTTATAAGTAACTTGACGCACTATGACAATATATATTAGTCTTCCTCATGGCATGTCCCACTATTCAGCAAAAGCAGTAATATTGTGAAATATTTGACTATTTATAATAACTGCTTTCTATTTAAAAATATTTTAAAATGTAATGTATTCCTGTGATCAAAGCTACATTTTCTGTATCATTACTGCAGTCTTCAGTGTCACATGATCCTTCAGAAATCATTATTGACTCAGTGTTATTGTTTTAATCTATTTATAATATCTAGGTATATTGTAGTTCACTCCAGAGTAGTAGTTAGACTGGGCCGTGTCACAAGAATAAAACTGATTATGTGGAAGCAATCAGCATTGTCTATCCATTCATTTTGTTTTTAAAACATGTAGCTATAAATGTAATTGGACCATCAAATTTACTTTTTTCCCCACTTTTTATAAGTAACTTGACGCACTATGACAATATATATTAGTCTTCCTCATGGCATGTCCCACTATCTAAAAACAGTTTGGCAGACTGTTTATAGAAAAACAAATGAAAAAGAGAAACTGGGTTCGATCTTAATAAAATTGTCTAATTTAATGAATAGGCAAATCTAAGAGAAGTAAAATTTAAATGTCCTGTCAGATTGGGGCCAGATACTGTATATTCCAATATGTAAACAAATGTAAAAACAGTATCTCTTATCAAATTATTCAAAGTGTCTGATGGCAAAATATTTTATTGTACCTTTTTGTTTAAGGCTCAGTGTTATACGATTTTTACATATTCATACTATCGACTGCCAGTCAATGGACAAAGAGAAGCTAAATTAGATGTAGTTAAGCAGTTAATAATGAACTCACACTCTTAAAAATAAAGGTTCTTTATTTATATGTGGTTCCATGAAGAACCTTTAACATCCACGGAACCTTTCCATTCCACAAACGGTTCTTTTTACACTAAGCAAAAAAAAGTTATTTTAAGAAACTGAAAGGTTCTTTGGGGCCCAAAATAGTTTCTCACTGGCATCACTACAAAAACCTCCTTCTGGAACTTTTATTTTTAAGAGTGCTGCAGTGTCACATGATCCTTCAGAAATCATTCTAATATTCTGATTTGCTGTTCAAGAAACATTTTTTATTATTATTATTATCAATATTCAAAACAGTTGAGGACATTTTTTTTCAGTATTCTTTGATGAATAGAAAGATCCAAAGATCAGCATTTATCATTCCACAAACGGTTCTTTTTACACTAAGCAAAAAAAAGTTATTTTAAGAAACTGAAAGGTTCTTTGGGGCCCAAAATAGTTTCTCACTGGCATCACTACAAAAACCTCCTTCTGGAACTTTTATTTTTAAGAGTGCTGGTGATGCTCAGCCATAATATTTCCAAACAATTCTGTATTTGACTTTATACTACAACAAATACTATATGAAATTACCTGACATTCCAGCTGTGGTTAAATGTTGAATGTATATCCTTAATATTTAAAGTTACACTGCAAAAATAATTATTTCCTTAATCAATATTTGTTTTCTTGACAAAATGTTTTTTATTGTTTTAAGCATAAACCTAACAAAATGTAGTGAAGTTTATGCATAAAATATGTCAAAAAAAAAAAAAAAATCAAGATGATCAATTCAAGTTTTATGGATGTTTGGATATATTTTACTGCAAAACAAGAGAAAAATATTGATTTAGAATTTTTAATAGCAAAAATATTTCAAAATTTTACTGTTTTTACTGTACTTTAGATCAAATAAATGCAGGCTTGGTGAGCAGAAGAGACTTCTTTAAAAAACATTAAAAATCTTACTGTTAAAAAACTTTTGACTGGTAGTGTACAATAATATAGCAGCATGGAGTCAGTACCCGAATGTACAGTGTGTAAAGTGTCTGGGAAGTACAGAATGTTCCTGAATTTCTTCATTCTGATCTGTTTAGATACTTTCTTCGAGCGACAATCAGCAGAAGGCTGAATGATATCAGTAAAGAGATGGATATTGTCGTGCAGACGCTGTGCACGTATCCAGAGGTCAACTCCTCCATCAAGATGGAAGTAGGAATTGAAGATTGTCTCCATATTGAGCTTGAATACAACAAATCCAAGTGAGTATCCATGTTGTACCATTAATATAAATTAAAATAGTAAGATTCACCAAAATGTTTGACACAATTAACCCCAAAAATGAAAATATATTATATTGTGTATAATTATATATAGTTTTTTATATTAAAATGATATTTTATAACGTGCAATGAAAATGTTTTAACATTTTATTATCTTAAATTTCATTACAAATATATACTATTATATATATATATATATAGTCATAGTTATATTTCTATAGTTACATAATAACAAACATTACGGTAATAAAATGTGCTTTTTATTTTGTAAAGAGATGTGTGTGTGTGTGTGTGTGTATTTTATGGGCAAATATCTTTCCTGACTGCTGTCCTGCTCTAAATTGAGCTACTTTAATTAAACCATACAGAAATATGCATTAGATTTCGAGAATAATATATTGATATCTCCACTTAATCGCGGATTAAAAAAAAAAAAAAAGTCAAATAGCTTATGCGCTCGTTTTTGAAGGCCACTTGGTAAAAGGTAACCATCAGAGCGCTAGAGAACCTGTAGCTGCTGCCAATCAGCTGATCTATGATCGTACAGCACTGACACTGACACTGACACTCGTCCATCAGACATGAGCTTCTTCGGCTTCGGACAGACCGCTGAGATCGACATCGTGTTGAATGACGCCGAGACCAGGAAGAAAGCGGAGCACAAAACTGAAGATGGCAAAAAGGACAAATATTTCCTTTTCTACGATGGTGAAACTGTAAGTGGGAAAGTTAACGTGACTCTGAAGACTCCTGGAAAGAGGCTGGAGCACAATGGGATCAAAATCGAGTTCGTCGGACTGATTGGTGAGTTATCCGTCTGTGAATGGACGTTTAGAAACAGTCCTGCTCGTGTTTATGTATATATAAACATGTCCTGTGATTCACAGAGCTGTACTATGACAGAGGGAACCACCATGAGTTTGTGTCGTTAGTGAAGGATCTTGCACGACCTGGTGAGCTTTCACAGTCCCAGACCTTTTACTTTGAGTTCACCCATGTGGAAAAGCCCTATGAATCTTACACTGGCCAGAATGTCAAACTGAGGTAAATCTATCAGTTGCTTCATTACTAAGGTTACTAATCAGCCAGAAAGCATTTACAACTGGTGCTTGGAGTAAAGCTGTAGTTAGTGTTGGTTCTGTAAACACAGAAAATTATGGGATATATTGTCATACAGACTACCAGTCAAAAGGTTTTGAACAGTAAGATTTTTAATGTTTTTTAAAGAAGTCTCTTCTGCTCACCGAGCCTGCATTTATTTGATCCAAAATTCAGCAAAAGCAGTAATATTGTGAAATATTTGACTATTTATAATAACTGCTTTCTATTTAAAAATATTTTAAAATGTAATGTATTCCTGTGATCAAAGCTACATTTTCTGTATCATTACTGCAGTCTTCAGTGTCACATGATCCTTCAGAAATCATTCTAATTTGCTGTTCAAGAAACATTTTTTATTATTATTATTATCAATATTCAAAACAGTTGAGGACATTTTTTTTCAGTATTCTTTGATGAATAGAAAGATCCAAAGATCAGCATTTATCTGAAATAAAAAGCTTTTGTAACA